CGCGCGCGCGCGCGCGCACGTCGGGATTTTATCTCGCGTTGCACAACAATGAAGAGTGGATGAATTGAAATTAAACGTATGAGAGTACACGGTATACGCGGTATACACAGTCGCGGAAATATTCGAGCGAAACAGACGTTTTTCTCTCTCTCTCTCTCTCTCTCTCGACACGGGTCGGCATACAAAAAAAAATCGTATTTAGCACCCAAATTTATTCGGACGATTCCCCCAAGTTATACCTCCGCAGGTATTATCATGCAATTTGCGAAACTTATGACAATTTAATTCTGATGCATATGATGATCGGTATAACAATAATAATAATAATAATAATAATAATAAGTATAATAATAATAATATTAATAATAATAAACGCGGGGCATGCTTCATGCGAATGATCGACCATAACTCTTACACATTTATCCTGCGGCAACCAAATGAAATAACATACTAAATACTGCGCATATAGTATAACGTGTGATATATTAATATCATCATATTAATATTTAAAACGCCTGTAATTATCTCGGATGGGAATTTAGTTCAATGCGTAAAATGGTGAACCGTGTGAAAATAATGGAAATGAAACCTCGTGTCGAGATAAATGCCGACTCTATAAAATAGTATTTTTATTGTAACAACATTAATCGGTCATATAATCGGTCTCTGATTCTTCGACAAAAATTTAGCTACGTCTAAAAAATCTTTCAAATAATCTATTTACCATAATCCCTTCTCCAATATAGCTTTTATTTCACATTCAGTATGAACTAAATACGATTTTTCATTGTCTATAATTTACGTGGCAATGTTATCAAATACATAATTTATTTGTGCAAACTTCCCGTGAGACTGCAATTTCCTCTTAATTTTGTTTTCATATTATCTCAATTTATGTTATCTTAATTCGTATTAGAATTGTTTTTTTTATACGTCCTACGACAAATAATTTGTACTTTCTAATTTAAATAATCCAGTCAAAAATCATTTAAAATAATACTTAGAGAAAATACGTACAACTTTCTGCTCACAGCTATAATATCAATTCATATGTGTTTTGGCTTAAAATTAAATAAAATTAATAAATAAAATTAATTAACAAAAATTATAAAAGTAAAAAATAGTTATATTGCAGATATACGCAATCTTCTACTTGTATAATTTTTTTTAAACATATTCTCTATGAAATTTTTTCAGAAATAAATAGCGATATTAAAAGGAAGAATATACAAAAATTTGCTAATATCTTTTGATTTCACGCATGCTTGCATATATTCGTTTTGTAAATTTGTACGCATTTTATTGTTAGACTTTATATTCTACCTACATCCTATATACATAATAATGATAAATGAGAAAATATTCATGCAGAGATTTATGTGAATATAAAAACATCTGTATAAAATATGGATCGGGAGAAGGATTTTGAGGGAGGGAAAATTAAGTCCTCGTCGTAGAGTCGCTATATTCTGCCGTTCAGGTCAATCACCTTCTCATCGCTATGTCTGTAAAATCAAAGTCTTGCTCTACGTCACATCTACAATTGCATAGCTCACTAAATAGATAAGATGAAGTGGCAACATACATATGTAGGTGCGATTAAGGAAATCCGATCATAAATGGATATTCCATTCTCGTACAAACATGTGTTTAACGTACTTCTCTCATTGTACGTATATTATTAATATACATACAATGAAATGTAACTAAATTAACATGCTGAAGCATCGAAACTGTTATATATATTAATAAAATTAATATATAATTAATAAAATCATGCAGTTAATAAGCATGATTATTTTTTAACACGACCAAAAGTGCAATACGAAAAAGATTTGTAAGCACCTCTACTTTATGCATTAAAAATATTAATAACTCATATCCAATGAATTTTATATGAAAATTTAGCAAGATATCTTTCTAATATCTTTATTTTATTATTAGCACAGAATCAGAATACCTAAAAAGTTATTCGATAGGATTGAGTGATAAAAAATTGGATGCAAAGCACAAGCGATATTAAAGCATGCATACATACCTGTACAGGACATAGTGCTGTATCATGAAAAATGCATCGAATGCCACAGAAAAGAATCCAAGACCGAATTTAGTCGGATCTCCGAAAATACTTTCCCAATCGTCTGAGATAAAAATTTATGGCGTTAATGAAAATTGTTTCGCTGAGTGAATTGCTTCGCGAATACGCGAGACGAAAGTAAGCTCTAAGTGTATATTCGTATGTTTACCATAATTGTAAGCGTTGAGTATCATCTGTAGCATTGACAAAATGCCACCCGTAAAATCTAAGAATACATTTCCTATGCTCCAGCCATCGGTGGACTTCCTCTTATAATTGTAAAACGCTTGCGGTACATATTTGATGAGCGTTATGCTGAGCTTGACGTAGCTACAGTAGTAGAGGAAATCTAGCCACTGGATCGTCTTCACGGCGGCTAATATCACAGATATTAGTATAAAAACCGTAAATATCCCGTGGATAATACGCGCGGTGATTGATATCCTTTGATTGCCCCTCTAAAGTGAAAATAAGTACGATTACACTGTATTGTTCCTACACAGGTAGCTGTTTTAAAAATATACGCTGTCTCTCAATCATTTTAGTTACCTCGTAAATAAAGCATTGTCCGATAGTTAATACAGTAGCAAATACTGCATGTAGCGAAAAAACTACATCATTGATTTGTACAGGATTCAAGCCCTTTGGATATCGCTTGAAATATTCATTCTGCAAAATATTTTAATAAATCAATTGACACACATCATCACATATATACGCGGATTTTTATTTTGCATTCTTATCAAGGAATTTTTATTTATAAAAATATTTATATAAAGTATGTTAGTGCTTTCTTTCTTTTTCCTTCTTTCTATTTTCCTGTACATATATAGTTTTTATTTCTCATTACAAGATATGGAAACAAATGTAGTAATATCTTACCTCAATCTCAGGTATCCAATAGAGGCCGCAATTAAACAGTGCGTACATAATAAAACCAACAACATTCAGTGACAGGTAATCGAAATTAAGACCCACAACACTTTGACGTTTGTAATTGACATAGATTTGTGGATAGAAGCTTACGCTCCACGCCAAGAAATATACCCATCCAACCACAGCACTGATATGATACAACGCTTCTGACTTCTCTATTGTTACTCTAACAAATGCATCAGAGAAACTAAAAGAAAATACGCAGGTTATTTTCACACATACACCGTTAAAATATTATTTAAAAAGAAAATATGTTGCATAAAAAGTAGCTTAGAAGTAGCTAAGAAACAGCGTGTAAAGAATTTAACTCACTTTAAATTTTCGATAGTATGTATTTGATCTCGCGGTATAATAATAATTTTATACATCTTTCAACACAGTTTTGAAAATTATTGCAAACTTCGAGATAAATTTATTTTTCACACAATACTTTTTGAGAAACGATTTTAAGAAGCACTAATAAATTTATAATAAATAATGATAATTAACTCCGGAATTTATAGACATTTCATCACTGATACATATTTGATAACTTTCGCAAAGATATTAAAATTATTTATTGAACTGAATTGGACTGGATGGGACCGCGATCGAATTAGGAAGTAATCCGCTCAAAATCTGGGCAAAGACTGACGAAACTTCACCGAGTTTCAGCTCGGATGACAAGTTTAGGTTCAAGAGGCTATCTGTGCAGTCTTAGCTAGCAATCTCTTAGTGCACTGGAACGTGCGAATGTAAAACTGATCTTCTGAATCTTTTCTGAATTAGTCACGAAGATAGGGAGGGCGAGCGAAGGCGTCAAGTGCCATAGGTCTCCGCTTCCCGCTGTGTATTGTTGTGCAATACTTGATTATGAACACTTGAACCAAATAATATGTACACGTTCGCATAATCAACCGTTATTAAAAACATCAACAACCGATTAGGGTTTACAAAAATCAACATGTAAGAGAAGCGTGAAATCTCTATGAAACACGTGTTCGATTACATATATATACTTACACCAAATAATACACACGTTCGCGTAATCAACCGTCATTAAAAATATCAACAACCGATTAGGGTTTACAAAAATCAACATGTAAGAGAAGCGTGAAATCTCTATGAAACACGTGTTCGATTACATATATATACTTATACCAAATAATACACACGTTCGCGTAATCAACCGTCATTGAAAACAACCGATTAGGGTTTACAAAAGTGAAAATGTAAGAGGAGCTCGTGAAAGGAGAGAATCTCTCTATAAAACACGCGTTCGATTATCGTATACTCACTCCATAATATCACTAGGAGTTACATTAACGCTGACAATCGAGTGACCGGCATTCAAGCCTTTAACAAGAATAACCCACACTCTTAATTTACTCTCCGTAATAGAAAAGTTCGAAGGGTTTGTAGCTAGTAGATCAGGATGCTGCACATCTATCGTAACTGTTACAGTTCTGCTGTCAGGCGGTTCCCTGCAAAGTAAGACCCTGGGTAACAAATTATCTCATTTTTAATATACATAGTTTACAATTCTGAAGCAGATACGAGTCTATCATTCTGTAATTGAATGATAAAGTGTAAAGTCCAGAAATGGCATTAAACATTATCATTAAATGCCTGCTGTTATCAATTTCATAGCGAATTTTATGACAAAAAGGAGGACAAAACGAATTCACATGTCACATTGCTAGGATTGAGCGACACAGGCGGAATGTGGGTGAAGGTGATGAAACGTAGACACATTTTAATGTGTCTTTTTGTCATTTGTATACACAACGACGGTTTCGATTCGACTTGCAGACGTAAGTAACAAGCATATCGCTGCGAACACATGCATGCCCCTCACATATCGCGACTTTCAATATAATAGCCAATAAATAGTCTATATAAGTGCTCCGACAAGCACAGCTAATCTGTAAGTGCCATCCATATAGCCCATGCGTAATGGATATCAAATTAGCGTCATTCAACAGGCTTACTCACGTCAATGATAAGTTGAACGAGTTCTGCTGATTGAGGAGCACCTTCAAATCGTGCATTGACGCTCTAAGGCTGACCGCCTGAACGCACGTTAGAGCTGCAAATGTAAAAAGACGACAATGTAATTTTTACAATAACGAAAGCGGTCGGTGAATATAACATATTTCTGCCACGCGTCTCACCTGATAGTAACAAGGCCAACGAGTAACGTAACAAAGCCATGTTGCGCAATTACTGAAACATTACAGTTGCGTTAGGCTTGATAACGCCAATGAGGCGATTAGTACGCAACTATCCTTTCAAAGAGAGTCATGGTCATAACGACGGTCTTTCGTGGCGTCGCACGAATTGGGCGTCTCGCGGCGATAACGCGGACACGCGGAAGAATTGCACGACGGAGCGTACGACGGGTTTAACCTCAAAACGCGCGGGGTCATCGCGACGACTCGCGCGATACGGTGACACTTGACGCGCATCACGTTAGTTTTTCGCCACTCGTCGACGATCGTCGGGGATCGGCTCGCGGAGATTACTCCGGATTTACTACTCGTCGTCGAATTTCCGCTCGGCTGTCAAAGCGCCGAACGACAACGATGACGTCGATGACAGGCGCCGCCCGTCGTTCGCCATCGTCGCCGTCGCTTCTCCGTTTTGCCAGGAGTGCGCTAGGACGATGCCAACGCGACACGTTTCACACACGGACACAATATCGCGAGATTCTCGAGTAGGTTACGCAGTTGGGAAAGCGATACGATAAGGAGCGAGACGAAACGCAACGTCAACAACGAGCACGTGACGCGCCACAGCTGGAGTGACACTTGGCGGCAAGCGACCGAAAGACCCGCCAGGGATGACCGATCCGCGCACAGTCATTTGGGTTTAACGAACCCCCGCGCTACGGAAAAACACACGCACACACGCACACAATGTGCTTCTGTCAGAAATAGTGGAGTAAATGATCGAAGAAAGACTAAAGTAAAATATAATTTATATAAGTGTAGATATGATTTATGTACCCAGGAAAAAAGTTTCACATATAATTATATATAATTATATGCAAATAAATATGTCCATATATGTTTCTTTCCTTTGTAAAATTATTCTTTAATACAAAATTGATAATAATAAGAAGGAAACATAAAAAATAATTAAAAGAATAATTTTTACATTGTTTTTTTTTTACAAAAAATAAAGTTTGAAGAAA